ATGGATTTTGGCTAATACCCCATGAGTTCCTTTGTTTTTGTTTTTTTATTTGATGAGGATATACTATTTAAAATTCTAAATAAATAGATGTGAATAAATAAATAAAATAAAGGTGATACATGTTGCATTATATTGAAAATACATGTAAATAATTAGCTTGATTAGTCTTGATGCTGGCATGACCTTTGTATCCTCAATAAACAGATCTGCACCCCATCGTATTGCAATTTCAAATGTGAGTAAACTCACTTTTTTCATTATGTAGAAAGACTAAGAACTTATAGAGATAATGACTGAAGTGTCTGGCCATACAGTTCTTGAGTGCTGTTGGATATCATGTCTTGGCATTGGACTACAGAGGTTAAAATGTTGTCACTTTACTTAAGCCCACATTTATTGTAACTCATTTCAAATATGATTTTTCTATGGCTTACTCAAATGTATTCAAATCTGTCAGGTTTTGGGGACTCCACTGGGGAACCTACAGAGGCCGGTCTGAGCACTGATGCCTTATACTTGTACAACTGGGTTAAGGCACGCAGTGGAAACAGCCTGTGTGTGTGGGGGGGCACTCACTTGGTGGGTGTGTATCTACATTTTTATTGACTGTTGCTATAAGTTTCTATAAATATATTTTAAAAAACCAATAAAGACAATATATATAATATGACTAAATAAAATACCAGTCTATGTATTTTCTACATATTCATAACAGTATGTTTATTTTTCAATAGAGTAACGACTAATGCTGCAGTGAAATTACTGGAGGAAGATATGACTGATCGTATTTTATGCAATTATTTGTCTCAATGTCTCTTCAGTGTTTTTGTCTCACTTTTTACTTTTTACTTATTGTAGTATAGCCTATCAGGGAATCAGCAATCAGGGAAGTGATCAACATGAAAAACAAGGGACTACAAAAATGGCACAGAAACAGGAAATAACACAAAAGTCAAAAGACATGGGGAACATAATTTACACACTTTATATATTTTAAAACATTTCTTGACTGCAAGAGTGGAATGGTGTATTTTACTTTATTTTATATATTTTTTTCTTTATTAAAAAACTACACATTTATTGACAGGAAAACAGTTTGATGGAATAATACTTGAGGGTGCATTCCTAACCGGGGAAGTGGCACCTAATCAAATTTTTCAACACGCATTTTCCTGGCTAAGTAACGTTGAGGATCTTTTAAATCATGGAAAAACAACTGACAAATGAGTTTTAGATGTTTTCATTTTAGATATTTTTATGAGGTATTTTATTGATCAATTTTTTTCAATGTTTTTAAGACCTATATCTTTCACAACATTGTAATTGGGATTTTCTTACAAAGTAAAATGTACTTAAAACCTGAACAATTTAATTATGATGAAAATAAAGTTCATTCATACTTTACATGGACGAACCACACAAGATGATTATCATTATGAATGATATTATTATTAGATTAAGGTCATTAATCTGTTTGGTACCTCTCTCTTTTTTTCTCTCTAGTTTTATTGGAAATTCCCATACATTCAGTTGTTCCTTTTCAATCCACTTAAAAACAACATTGTGGTCTTTCCAACTAATAAGAAGTATGTGACATTGTTTCACTATAGTAATTAATATATATTTAACAATATGAGTAGAAATGTGATTTGAATAGTATGCCAGTGTAATGTTAAATATGAAAATTTGTTGTAAAATTCGTATCTCGTTTTTCTCTTTTGATAGTTTGGAGAAAATTAGAACTCCTATTATGATTCTCCATGCTGAAGACGACCATATAGTGCCATTCGCCATGGCTCAAGAGGTTTGAGTTTATGTTTAAGAAACTTAATTTACCCTAAAAAATAATTTGAAAATACATATTTGCTTTAAATTACATTTATTCTGGTTCAGATTTACAGAATCGCAAAAAAGGCCCAGAAATCAGATGAGCGGGTCAAGCTGGTACCATTTGATGGATCACTTGGATATCTTCACAATGGTCTCTACAAAGACCCTGGTTTGCCAAATATCAAAAGGTGATGTCATGTTTTATACATTTTTAAGATTTCAAAGAATTTTCATAGGAGATGCATGATAAGGGTAAAGAACAACACTAGTAAATGTAAAAGTAAAAACAGCTCTGGAGAAATACTTTCTATAAAAAGTAACTTATTATGAGTAAGCTATGCATTACTTTATATAATGTTGAACATACATCACTTAATGACAATATCAGAAAATGGCAGCAAAATGTCTATATTTTACGAAAGGACCCCCATTGGGGTGAATTAAGAAAATACATTAGAAAATACAACGTGGGAACTGTGTTAAAAAGCACAATGAAATGCGCAATGAAATTTTTTACTGAATGTACCATTTTAGGGAATATTGACGTAAACACAAGGTAAACAACGGGGAAAGAAATCAAATGTGTGCATTAGTTCTTAAAGTGGCAGCAGCCTAGCATTCCTGCTTAATCAAACAACAAGAGAAAAAGAAAAAATCTCGTTCTGCACTTTGATTGAATAACTTTAGAATCAATATTTAAATCATATTGTGAAGACTTTGTTTTATATATCTTCGCGTCGTGCCTAACAACGCCCTTCAGCCGTTACTTATTCACGATACAGCACAGCCTCTCGTACCTTATTGCTTATATATATATATATATATATATATATTTTTTTTTTCATTATTCAATTGCATTACTCATTATTCAATTAATTTTAAATAGGAGGCTACCTAGTGTCCACAATGTCGCCGGATTTGCACTTGAATTTGCAGTTGATTTTGAACTCTGGAGGACAGACTAGAGGAAAGAGATTTAACATTTATGTTAATTAAAGCAGTTCACAACACATACCAATGAAGGTCCTGTCCTGGTTTACCAGCAGGTTCTTGTATTTGATGATCTGACGGAGACACCACGCTCGCACGCTCTTCCTCTGTGGAACTCCATGAAGCTCAGCATGTCAATCCAAGACAAGGACTGTCGACCATGTTGTAGTTGTTTGTGTTGTCCCGCCAGTCCTGCAATTGTCTGAGGAACGCTGGGGCCCTTTTTGGTGATTAATGAGTCGATCTCCATAGGGAGGAGTTTGTGATAGCCAGCCTAAAAGAAAGAAATTATGACAGATGGAGGTGGTTTTCAAAATAAGGACTTAGTTCACAAAACAGTTTGCCTATACAGAAAAATAATTTTTAGTATGCGTTTAACATGAATAAGATGTTATAAATTAACTGTGAATCAATAATAGCACTTAGCTACCACCTGGATGGCCCCTTCACTAAAATATCACAGCCACCTGATTTTTACAATTAACAATTAGCTTGTGCACAGAGGTCAGTCATGCCAAGCATTGATCCGATATGGAAGCAGATGGTTTTGACCAAATTTATAACACCACAACAAATTCCTATGTGTTTGCCCACGCTTGGCGAATAATATTCTGATGTCTATTAAATGATAAACAATTGTAGTTAGCATGAAATATAATTTTAAATATTTTTTTATTTGATTTTATGATTTAGCTTTTTCTAACTCTCATAGATGTATTATTCTTATCCTTAATTTCAAAGACATCCTGCTCTGGCTGTTCCTTAGCAACAGGGACTAGGACTTTAGATATTAAACCAAATTAATAAAATGAATAAAATATTGCATCCTTAAATTGGAGAGGTGTTTTACTTAGTGCCACTTTTGACTTGAAGAATCAACCAATAATCAAATACTTGTATCATGATGACACGTTTATGTGATTGATTTACCAATGGTTAGAGGGAAGTGGAGAGTGGGCACTTCCAGTAACTCGTCTTGTTTTTTTTTTTCCTCTCTCCCTCCATCAATATCAGCAGCACCAACAGGCGTCTGATCAAGCAGATGAGGATGGTTCTCCGCCATGTTGGTGGTTTAGTAGTAGCCTACTCAAGATTTGTGTACACACACCATATTAAGCTCTTTGTTTGGTCATGAACTTAGCTGTCCCATGAAATTGATAAAAATTGAACAGCATGGTTTAGTGTCATATGACACCAATCATCACTATGGAAAGACTGGTAAGTGTAGAAATGCCGTATTGTAGTTATATATATATATATATATATATATATATATATATATATATATATATATATATATTTATCTCTTTTTATATGTATCCGTTTTATGTAGGTCCATGTTGCATGATGTCTGTGCATCTTCTGAATGGACCAAGAGTCTGGAAATGAAATTGATGATGATGATGAATCCCATTAAAAACTGTAACATTTGTGACAGTTGGCTAATTGGCCTTTTTTGTAATTAGGTATTAGCCAACATGCTGCCCCATTTCAAATAGCCTAACAAACAAACAAACAAACAAACAAAACTAAAACAAAAATACCTTTAGCAAGGCGCCCCTGGGGGTTCATGGGGGAAAAGCAGGGGGTTAGTGAGTTAAGGCTAATTATAATCCAGTAATAAAAATATAAAATGAAAAGAAATAATTTTAAAATCGAAACATTCTAAACATAATACTTCATATTTCATTATTGTTATTTACCTGTATGATATGTGACCATTTGACTTATGAGAATCTTGAACATGCACATTTCTTGTTAAATTATTACAATTAAATTATTAACAAAATAATTGGGGGAAATGAGTAATTGTATTCATGTTAACTAAAGTTTTTGTGAACTGTTTTATTTTGGCAGCTTAGTGAGGAATAGCTGTGGTCTTGAATGAATCGACGTTTAATAGCGATATGTTTACTGATTAGGCGTAACTTTCTACAACACTATTTGAAGTTCCTATCAATGAACATTCACCAGTGTTGTTTTTACATCCTGCTTAGCAGCCTGCCTTTCCACCGCTTCTGTTTGCGCTCAGATGACGTGGCCATGGGTGGCGAAGCGGAGGGTTTTCTTTCTCAACTTTGACTCATCGCTCTCTCCAACGATAGGTCCAAGTTACCCATGTGACCTGTTCTCACCAATCAGCGGTGGACGCGCTGATCACTCGCCAAGCAGTTTTACGACAAACTCGTATGTGAGCACCTCAAGACAACTACTGTCATAGAACCAGGAAGAAGGAAGGTGGGATAGCCCCCAAAAAAGATACCATTTCAAATCAGTCGCAGAATTTTCCCTAGAAAATCATGGGGCTCTGCAGGTGGACGATTGAAGTGGTTGTCTTGACGACTGTTTTTAGTTCATTGCTGCCAGTTCGAGCAGATGAACACGAACATAAGGTAAGATAAACTGCGGGCCGAGAAGCCCTCTGTGTTCGGTTTGTATAGTCTCGAGAGACGTTAGATATTGAGCTGGTTGTCCTGGCAAAAGTGCCTAACATCAAAGGACATAAATTAATCCAATAAACTTGATACGATAATTGATGTATTGTCCCGTGTCTATGTTAGAAATGCTAAGCACATCAGAAGCTACGTGGCTAGCTTAGCATCAGCTATCCTATTACATTATGGAGTTCAAACAGCAGGGCTGTGCTCGAAATTCTCGGGTTCGACTCCTCGTATGATGCATAATAAGTAAAATGTTATTTTAGGCATAAGATGTGTTTCGTATATTGTGTGCGTTTCTTTTGTGTATGTATGAGGTTATTCTGAAGGGTCTACTAGCCGTCGTTAGCTAAAATAAATATGTCCGTCTGTACACACACACATCCGGTTCGTCTAGGCGTTTATATGCCCGATACACTGTAAAACATTGTTACATTTACATAAAAAGCAGATTTGGTTGCAACTTGCAAGAATTTGACTGTGACGGAGTGGCAGTCTTTTCTCGGTGTCATTTTGGTGACTGTATATTTACAGTTCCTAACCATATGTCATTAAATCAAAATATTTCAAAATAACAATCTAATTAAGCAAATAAAATCTGTCAGGTACAATGGAAGTTTGCTTAAATTCATCACAATTGTAACGTGTTATCACTTAACACGCATGCCAACTAACATATCTCAGAAATATTTAATAATATCTAAAATTACAATTACATGGGTTAGGAAGATTATAGAAGGCAGCTTGCAATTAACATGTTTTTATTGTAGCATATTTGCACTTTTTCACTATTTTAGTGTAACTGTTACAGCATTATAGTGATAATGTTTGATATGAGATGACTTAAAAGTCAGCATGAAATGCAAATTAACGTAAAGGTACAATATGTAAGCATTTTGTAATAAAATATCCAAAAATCACCGGCACAGTGTGATATATTCCTGCAGTGTGTACTCACAATATCCCTAAAGTCTCCAAAGATTTTTTATTTCAGTGAAATTCCAATTTTAAATAAGTGGCCTTTACGGAAAAAAAAAAAATATCAGTATCCACGCTATCCTCAGTTTCCGTTCATACTGCCATAACCACGATTTAACCATGGCGACAGACATGGACAACTGCGTAGTGCGTAATGTTTAGCCGCACACAGTTCTTGTTTCTTTCAAACATAGACCATGGCAAGCAGACTTTGGGACAAACACGGAGAATTTAATTGAGGATCAATATCAGCGTGGCGTTTTTAAGATGCCGAGAGCTCCACGTCCGCGACTAGCTTTGACTTGACAGAGCTTCACTAGTCATGACTTGACAGCTTTATTAGACAGGTGAGCAAATGTTCATAAAACAAATCAATGTCATTAACATTAGCTCAACATGATGAATGTTACAATATGGTCAGTATATATGTTATTCTAATGTTGATCTAGCTTACTGCTAGTTTCATATAGCAAACTAACTAACACGAAAGTTAGTATAACTTATAACTAAATAACATATAACTTTCAACACCCTTTAAATGCCGTTTAGTGTGATAGTGTAATGTAGACCAAGTGAAGCAGCGCTCCATTACTGTGTGAGTAATCCACGGGACTCGCGTGTGATATCTGTCTCTTTAGCAATCGCGATCTGCTTCATACCCCTGTAACGTTAAAAATCATGAATTTTTGCACTCAGCCATAAACATTTATTAGATCCGGATCAGCTTGACAGCAAGTCCCATCATTCGGCTCATCACTGCGTCATAAACTTACGACTTTGTTATTGTTGGAAACTGCACCCTTTTGTGGTGAAAAAAAACCCTACATATAGTGCCTTTAATTTTTAATCAAAATTTCATAACTGGAACTCCATTTTTCATTCATCAGCATTTCGGACATTGGTAGGTTGGTTGTATGACACTGATCAGTTTAGACAAGTTGACTTTGGGTGTTAAGAGATTTAAATCTTCACTTTTATTGCAGCCCCTTTCACATCTTTCATAATATTACTGGGATTATTCAGCACCATACATAATCTGTGATGATGAATTATAGCTCATAAAACAGGATATGTTCTCGTATTAATTCCTCCTTTCCTTTCAAGGTTTCTGGTGGATAATGTTCTTCTTTTTGTTCAAACTAATTGCCAATGGGAATACCTCTGAGCATGGGCGACGTGTTTAAGGTTTCATTGTTGCAACCATGCAGTTGCTCTTATATTTGTTCTCTAGATTCAGATAGGATGGTGTAACACTACCTGATTTACTGGTTCACACCCTATCTTTCTTGAGCTTCTTAATTCAAAGAATTTAAGGGATAGTTCAATATGAACCAACTACTTTCCTCTGTGGAACATAAAAGAAGATATTTTGAGAAATGTCTTTTTTTGTTGTTGTTTCTCCAATGGAAGTCAATAGTCACCAAAACTGTTTCAAATCTTTTGTCTTCCCATGAAGAAAGATACAGGTTTGGAACAACATGATGGTTTGTTTGATGACAATTTTTGGTAAACTCTTCCTTTAAGCACTTATTTCTCCATTCTTCAATCTGTATCAAGATTATTTCCACACCAGAATCAATTACATTTCTATTATCTAATGATCTATTAGGCTTATGTCTAATCATATCTCCATTGTTGTCATTTGCCTCAAAATAGGGTATTTCATTTATGCATTGGAAAACTTGTTAAAGATACAACAGGATATTGATAACCATTGAGCGGCAACAATAATCATTGCTTCCAATGGTCTGTTTTGTAAGGCTCTGCATACTTTATTCTATATAGACTGAGGGTGGAGCCTTCTTAGTCTGAGCTCTTTCAATTGGTCACATCCTGGAGTTGAATTAACATCCCAAAGAATAGATGCTGATATTTGAAACAGGTAGCTAATGACTGTTCTCGTTCTTCTGCAGTACACTGATAAAGAGGAGGTGGTTCTATGGATGAATACAGTGGGCCCTTATCACAACCGACAGGAGACCTATAAGTATTTCTCCCTACCATTCTGTGTGGGCACGAAGAAAACTATTAGTCATTATCATGAGACGTTAGGAGAGGCGCTACAGGGGGTTGAACTGGAGTTTAGCGGTCTGGATATCAAGTATACAGGTATGGTCTTAATACCTGTTCAACTGAACGATGGCCGAAATGCATAATTTTCCCGTTATCACTGTAAAGCTGCTTTGAAACACAATCTGTATTGTGTTAAGCGCTATATTCATAAAGGTGACTTGACTATTGTGGCTAGCATGTTAACTTTTTCAAATGAAGCTTATCAAGGGCACAATCATTAAATGGCATTACATGTAAAGTACTATGAATGTAATTTACATTATTTAAATTTGTAGATCATTCATCCACATGTAAGATTATTGCTCTTGTGATGATTGTAAGAATGCAATGCTTTGTCTTTTACAGATGAGGTGTTACAGACGACATACTGTGACATTGAACTAGACAAACCTAAAAAAGATGCGTTTGTCTATGCCATCAAGAACCACTACTGGTATCAAATGTACATAGATGACCTTCCCATCTGGGGTGAGTAAACCAGAAGCCAGAGTGATTGCCATTGGCAAACCTAATTTTGAGATTTTATTCATTTTTTTTAATTTTATTTCTATAATCAGTTTTTCATCTAATATCTATTTTATGTATATTATATTTTTATTTTATGATAGAATAATATTCCTAATAGTTTTTGTTAATAATAACACTGTTCAGCTTACACAGTAAAAAAATGAGACAGCAGTTGTGAAGGTGACAAATATACTTTTGAGACTAACCTTTTAGCACAAACAACAAAAATGACAAACAGTTTTCTGATGATCATTTTAATCATCAAAAAGTCTAAATGGGGTATTGCTTGTGAGTGACCTTCACTGAAATGCGAGTGAAATCCTACATTGTGTTTAGGTCAATTTTTTTATGTGCGGGTGTGCAGACAGGGTGACCAACTGCTCTCCAGGGTACTGTTAACTTTGTGCACCTAGTTGATTAATCTTTGCAAAGAAATGAAAGTGGCATGTATGTATCTTTCCATTCTGGGACATCCTGTTCTGTGACATTTTTTGATTGACAGAAAGCATCTAAAGAGTATTGATTTCATTATGCAACATTTGAGGCTGCAGAGAAGGTTAATGAAGATGCTTGATGTCATGATGGTTGATGTCTTTGGCTGTGACTTTCAAGTCCATGTTCCATTACAAACCCTATGAGGGAAACAAAGCAGTGCATCATCGTTTTGAATATCAATCCTGCTAAAAACTTTTTTTATTCCACTCCGCTCATGTTAACATTGAAGTATTCGACAAGGAACATTTTGGTAAGATGACATAACTTAAGAACAGCCTTCAAATTGTACCATTTTGACTTTTTTGCTTGCTGTTTTGCTATTATTCTCGTGCACTGAATATTTCACTAAGCTGATCTCCAATCAGAGTTTCCTCTTTCAGCGACGGCCCGACGCCGATTCAATATGTCGAATTGGCCGGAACAAAGCTGACGAGAAAACTTAGTCCACCAACGCACAAACAAGTGCCCGACAGCCGACCGTCGGCTCGGTGTGTTCCAGGTTTTAGGGCATTTCACAGCAGTTGGGAGACTCAAGTCTGCAGTCATCATTGTAGGGATGCTGCCATGTTGGTACAGAAATGCCAGCAAGTTCTTTAAGATCCATTGTGAGCTGCCAAAATAGCTATATATTTTCTGGTAGCTTCCCATTTAATGACCATCTTCTCACTCCAAATTTTTCAAATGATATTGTTCCTTAGATAATGCATGTTACAAATCAATTACATTGTTCTAAAAAAAAAAAAGGAATAATAAACTGTGCCTGAAGGGGAAATCAGTTTATTGAAGTATTTTAAACATGTTGTTTCCCACGTAACAGTTTGACATTTTAACAAACCATTATTATTCAACAGAACTAACCATTTGTTCTGAAAGAGCAGTAGGGTTATTAAGCGTTTTAATAGTTGCTCATAAATTAAGTAACTTTGATCATGGGAAGGGAAGAAAAGACTTTGGGCTTTAACTGCCATGTGAGTGAGCTATATGTTTTTGAGGAGTATATGTTGTATCTTTATTTTTGCGGATATTTGGAGAAATTTTATAAGAAGTTTGTCTTGGTAGCATGCTTAAGAGTTTTTCTTTTTGTTGGTTCTTTACTTGAAATGACAGCATGATTATGCCATTCAGCATTTCACACAAAACGATATTTAAGAGGAACAGACTTTGGTTGGATTATAAAATGTTAGACTGTGATATTAGTGGTTATTCCAGTCATTTTAGAGGCAGAGTAAGTCATATTTTTGATACAAATGTTATATTATTTGGATTTAATGTACTTGTTTATTTAAACTGATAATATACTTTTGACATAATGTGACATGTTTGCCTTCATTCTAAACGGAATATTGTTTTGTTGGATTATTTAAGGTATTGTTGGTGAAGCTGATGAGAATGGAGAAGACTATTATCTCTGGACTTACAAAAAGCTGGAGATCGGATACAATGGGAATAGAATTGTGGATGTTAACTTGACCAGTGAGGGGAAGGTCAAGCTTGTGCCAAACACAAAAATTCCCATGTCATACTCTGTGAGTAAAGCTTTCCTAAAATTAAGAAACCTGCTAATATTAACTAATACTAGGTTAATTAAATTGTCATTTAAAATCGAACTTTGTGTGGGAAATTAATACTAATGCTTATTGTGTGAAAGAATAATATGTGTAAAATTAATAATATTACAAACTTATGCCAACCCTTACAGGTGAAGTGGAAGAAATCTGATGTGAAATTTGAGGATAGATTTGACAAATATCTTGATCCGTCCTTTTTTCAACACCGGGTAAATGGCACATATTGTTTGCTAACTCCATCTAATTTAAAATGTGCTGTGGGGGATAATGAATTTATGGAATGCTTTTTGCTTTCTGACAGATTCACTGGTTCTCAATATTCAACTCTTTCATGATGGTGATTTTCCTGGTGGGCCTTGTTTCAATGATCCTGATGAGGACATTAAGGAAAGACTACGCCAGATACAGCAAAGAAGAAGAAATGGATGATATGGTGATCACTTACAGAACAGTTTTGTAATTCTTAATTACACAAGGCTTATTAATCCATCACCTTTTAAGTTGCGCATTTGTTTTCGCTTGAATCTTTGATGAATTGGTTTATTCACAGCCTCTCAATGGCTGATGTTTTATAGCTTTGATAACAGTTCCAAGTGTAATGCTATGTTCCTCTCAGGGATGGTGTCTTCCTCTGCATTTTATCAAACTCAATGCACATTCTTTTTTCCTCAGGACCGTGATCTCGGTGATGAATATGGATGGAAGCAGGTTCATGGTGATGTGTTCAGACCGTCCAGCCACCCGCTGATATTCTCCTCCCTCATTGGCTCTGGGTGTCAGATCTTCTCGGTTTCCCTCATAGTCATCATTTTGGCCATGATTGAGGACTTGTATACAGAGTGAGTTTCACCTATTATTAACAGGGCAATGATAAACTACGTGTATTGTGTAATTATTGTCTAATAATTAAATATAGGCTAAAACAAAAATTACATTGTTGTATAACCATGATATACTGTACATTTGGACATGTATGGAAAGTTGGGCTGTAAGGGATATTCACATTTTCTGAAGTGCTCATCAAATGAATTTCGTGTTTGCTTTTGTAGGAGAGGGTCCATGCTGAGTACAGCCATATTTGTCTATGCTGCCACGTCCCCAGTCAACGGCTACTTTGGTGGAAGCCTTTATGCAAAACAAGGAGGTATGCAAACTAATGTTTGTAACATCTGCGATAATGAAACGTCCAAATGTCATTAAGACAACCTATTGAAGGTGTTCTATGTGTCTACAGACCTTTTTGTTCTTGTTTCTTGTATAATTTTTGCAGGGAGGAGATGGATAAAGCAGATGTTCATAGGAGCTTTTCTGATCCCTGCCATGGTGTGTGGCACAGCATTCTTCATAAACTTTATTGCAATCTACTACCATGCCTCTAGAGCCATCCCATTCGGCACCATGGTGAGTTAGTAATCTGCCTTATACAGTGTCTAGTCTATATATGGCTATCTCAAGCAATAATAAGTCAATCTCAGACTGATTTTACAACTGGGATCAACTAAGTAGAAAAGACAGTCAACTGTTTTCACATCATATGTGTTATTTTGGACAATTAAATTTGGTTGTGAACGTGCTAGTGTCATCTAGTTTCAAGTCTGCTACATTACACATGCAATTTATTTTCCCATTTTATTATTGCACTCACATTTAATAACAGAATCTCAACAATACTTGATTGATTGCGCAGGAAAAATCTCATTGGTTCTTGTGGAACCTCGAACCCGTGAGAATGAACCTCATTGGTTCTTGTGTGTCAAGCAAGTATACTTGAACTTCTGTTTAGTGTGCTAAGATCAATGTTTATGTGAATAAAAGCATAAATTAAATCTGTTTATCATATAAAGGCGATTGTGTCTTTTCAGAAGACTTGGATTAAACTGTTCTATTCATAAGAATTATTTTACGATCTCTTATTGAACATTTTGAACCATTTGAGATTTAGATGAATAGAAGGACCATGGAAGGACAGAAATCTCTCCGATTTCATTAAAAATATCTTGATTTGTGTTCTGAAAATGAATGAAAGTCATGTGGGTTTGGAATGACATGAGCATAATTTTCACTTTGGGTTAAACCATTAATTTCTTTAGTACCGTATTTGTTTATCATTGTCATTTTTCTTCTTTTTTGATCAGGTTGCAGTGTGCTGCATCTGTTTCTTTGTAATTTTACCCCTGAACCTGGTGGGGACAATTCTGGGCAGGAACCTCTCCGGTCAGCCTAACTTTCCTTGCAGGGTCAATGCTGTACCCAGACCCATCCCAGAGAAGAAATGGTAACCTCAGTCATGATTCACACATTACAGAGCGTCTCACAGCTGTTCAGTTGTCTTGATATAATCCCATATTCCCCATTGTACCATTGTTTCATTTTTGTTTTCTGTGATTTACATGATGTTCAAACATGATCAAATTGATTTGAATGTAAATACTGTGAAGGTTTTCTTTACATCAGATAAAATAATAGTTCGACTTTCTTAAATAAATTTGTCTTACTAAATGTTTCTCTGAATTGGCAGGTTTATGGAGCCAGCGGTTATTGTGTGTCTAGGTGGCATTCTTCCATTCGGGTCAATATTCATTGAGATGTAAGTCTGCACACTTCTGGGTACACACACACACCCATAATCAATGACTATGAATATCTACAAGATTTAAAAATCTTACATTTTCTTTCAGGTACTTCATTTTCACATCTTTCTGGGCCTACAAGATTTACTATGTGTATGGATTTATGATGCTGGTGCTGGTGATCTTGTGCATTGTTACAGTCTGTGTTACCATTGTCTGTACCTACTTCCTTCTCAATGCAGAAGACTACAGATGGTAAGGATCATTACATGCAATACTGTATTTTTTTTCAATACTGTATTGTCTTTGCTTATGTTTTTTAATTTGTTTCCATCCTCCCAAGTGTACTTGGTATCAGACCGCAGGGGCATTTTAATTTTTTTTAGGGATGTAAATGCATCATAACCAGATGACATCATGAGACTAAATGACAGTGCTTCTTTTAAGATTTAATGTTATTTTTCTTTCTTTTTTGCAGGCAGTGGACCAGCTTTCTCTCTGCAGCCTCAACAGCAGTTTACGTTTACATGTACTCCTTCTACTACTATTTCTTTAAAACAAAGTGAGTTTTAGTTTCTTTTCCTTAAATGTAGTTGTAGGAATGCTCAATTTAAATGTCTGTCATTTACTCACTCTTAGTCACTTGATTTATTCAGAATTTATGCAGAATTTTCAAGCTGCTATTTTCTATAAAATATTATCTATAAAGCAACAATCTACATAAAACATAAAAAGCAATACAATAAAATTGCTAGAAACTCTCTTTTTTAGCATGGTTGCTTGTGTGCAATAGGTATGACCTGAAATTTCTGCTGAAAAGTCCCCCCCCCCCACCCCTCAGTGTTCAGCGCTCAGGTTTCACTCTCGCTCTAGCCCTTATTACTTCACGGTGTGACTATCCGCTCAATATTCCTCTCTATGCACATGCGCTCTGCTCAGTTGCTCACGGCCCATGCGAAGGCTCCACTAATCTACTGCTCATGCTCATCTGAAAAGCAAAGTCTGCTCAAATAACGCATTGACATCAAATTTCTATGTAGTTGTACTACCATATTCTTGTTTCTGTTTGCAATAGCCCTACTGTCCTTTAACATGGTGTGGTGGCCATACTGGGCAACACTGGTAAAATGATGCTACCATCTCTTTCACTGATCCGCGTACATGCTCTGAAAATAATAGATTTGTAGTACTACACATTGTTTTGGATAATTGGTAAAAAATAAATCTATTAAATCTGATCCTGTTGCATAGAAATAATAAAGAATAATATATCGATTTTTAATATTATATTTTCTGTCCAATTTTTGTGTGGTTATTTTTTTGGCTTGCATTTTTTAAATTCAGTATCATTAAAATTATTGAACGTCACTTAAAAAAAGTCTAATATTTAATATAAATATTAAAGCTAATTTTCAATAATAAATAAATTATTTTTAAAATGCGTTTTCGGCCAAGCGCTTCCAGAATTTTCGGTTTCGGCCCAGAATTTTCATTTTGGTGCATCCCTAAATTGCAAGCACATTATTTGAAAATTAGAAACTGTTTCTCATTTTCATTTAGTGGATTTATTACCGTATCTTTGGAAAAATTTGTAGCACTTGAGTAGAAGTCGCACAGGGGCAAAATTGTGCTGAGGAAACAAAAACAAACACAAGTAGTGCCTAAATTTAATAGCATTATATAGGTTGCAGCATGTTATATATGATAAAACATATAGTCCAGAAAATATGGTAATTGTCTGTGTGTCTAAATCTGTGGATCTGATACCAATAATTAGCATGTACTAATTTTATCTGCAGGATGTATGGCTTATTTCAGACGTCATTCTATTTTGGCTACATGGCTGTGTTCAGTACTGCTCTGGGAATCATGTGTGGTGAGTACAAGAAAACTGAAACACTTCTCTATTACAGTGGTTCTCCTTGTTATAGGGTTGGGCGACGTCTACCAATTTGGCATCAGACGATGTCTACAGTGAATACATTTTCGTAATATTCTCAATTTCCACTACATATTTTCCTCTATATCTTATCAGCAATTTCGAATTCGTCATTCTCTGCAGCAGCTGAGCAAAGAGCGAGTCTATGGAGCAAATGTAGTGATCTAACTGCCAGATTTAAACTGCGTGCTTTCACGCTATGGCTGGCGCTGAGCCAAAGACGGACGCGCGCAGCCCTTGTCATCGCTATATCACAACTGTTCAGTGTTTTTAACCACATAATATTTATTTAAGGTTTCAGACATTTAAATACCGTTATATGTAATATATTATAGCAAAACAATATATTTTAGTTTGTAAAATACACAATGGTGTCTATTGAAGCAGAAATAACAACCCATTCAAATATTTGATAACGTTTTTTTATTAATAGAGACACTGTTTAAATAATTATAAAGTCAACCCTAATTTTTCTGGGGCTTTACTTTCATGTATTTCGGGAGAAACTGATGAATTCCCGCACTCTAATATATCCAACAGACAGAAATATCTGAACTGCTACCCAAACACGGCGCCCATCTCACATACAGATCAAGATCTTTTTCTTTCTTTTTTTTAAACGACAAAACAAACTCGCTTACACATTTGAGAATCGGAATATAAGATAGTTCATCATGAAATGGTAAGCAAGTTAATATTTTGAAATAAAAGCGCTAAATCTGCAATAGAGCGCTATTTTGGCTGTGGTGAATCGCGTGCCAAGCATAACGCGTCACCATGGAAACGGGGGGGGGGCACGATGCCATCTAAACATCGTGATGTCTGTCAGCCATCACCGTCCATCGGCCTAACCCTACCTTGTTATAATCATAAGTGTTGCTATATGGGTAGGGGAGCGACATATTCTTATGATAACACAATGCATCATCACTTTGTTTTTAGGAGCGGTAGGTTACATGGGAACAAGTGCCTTTGTGAGGAAGATCTACACAAATGTAAAAATCGACTAAAAACTCTGCAGCGACGCTGTGGATCAGCCGGCACTTCCTCCGATCGACGCGGGCACAAAGTCTCCATTTATTTTGCAAGAAGAGATTGTGGTATCTTGTACAAAATCTAGTTTTCCATTTTCTCAATGAATTAAAAGTTGCGGCATGATGCGTACACAAGGGTAAAGTGAGAGGTGTAATAAACAGGACTTTTTATTTTTTATTTTATCTGCTTTTTCGTTTTTCCCTTCAGAGGCAATGCAGGCAGTAAACGCAGATAAAGGGGAAAGAAAGTACACCTCAACGTTGCTCCTATTTCTTATAACTTTATCCCACCCCCCCAAAAACCATTGAACAGATCTTTATTGATGGAATAGTCTAGCTCTCTTCAGTGAAGAGGCCAACGTGTATTGAGAGCCTTTGTTCTATTATATGAGAATATCAGAGAGTGGGGTTTACGTCCATCCTCTTGCTTGTCTGTTTTGTATTAGTCGTACAATGCCTTCATTGTAGTATTGTTTTTTCCAAAATACAGAAATTATTAAAAAAAAAATTCTTTCATAAATAGAGAAACCAATATGATGTGAAGAAAACCTTTTCAGGGCATCTGTTGTCCTGTAGCTCAGATCCACAGACCCGCGCTGGACAGAGCTTAGCACATCAGACACAGTTCGCTATCCACAAGCATATTCTAGTGAGACCGGTGATCTGAAATGATGGTTTGGTGGCAGATTGTTTTAATGGGATGTGTGATGTGATATTTCTTTTTCCAGTTCAGTTTTATGTTGTTGTTTGGGTTTGAATGAAGTCTGCTCGTAAAGATAATATATGGAGGGGGGTGGCCATGTATATAACCTTAATAATGTAACTGTAGATGTAGATCCCAAACGTATTTTGGTTGTACAGATTTATTAAAGGGTGTCTTTTCTTTCTTTTATGGACAGTCAGATTAGGGTTTTTGTTATGTTTTTTTGAAGGTTGGGGTGGGCTTCTTGGCACAGTTACATCTTGCCTGATATTGCATGAATTTTTCACCAAATCAAATTATCAGATTCTATTCGTTTTTGTTGATCATAATTACATTTTAAGTGACCCTCATCACTACCCTTTATTTGCATCTTGTAGAACGGTCTCAAAAATAAGTGCTTCATTGACTTTGTGCTGCTCATAGAAGAGATAGTCATCAGCTTTTTTTATTATTATTATTTTTTTATTTAAAGAGTTGAAAGGCTATTCATTGTCTTGGACAGCTCACTCGTGCTTCTTTTTGTATCCATGATCTGAACCAAAATTGTGATTTTTTTTTTTTTTCACACAATTTAGGCGCACATGCTAAATCTCTGCAGACATACTGTACAAAGTGAAGTTATTGTACACTTTACTAGATGTTTTCATGATTACTAAGTGCAGACACACTTAGAGCTGTTGTTCTTATTTTTCTTGTTCCATTGTGTAAATACAGTATGTAAGAAAAAAAAGTGGCAAAGCCTTTTTCTAAAAATCATTCCTCCCAGTTTAAACAAAATTATTTCCGGTTCTTCATGTCATGTTCCATGTGAAGTCTAAAGAGACATTTTAAACACAATATTAACTTGCTGTAAAAAAGGAGAAGAAAAAAAGAAATAAACATTGTTTTTGAGGTTATGTAGGCATGGTTATGAAGGAAAAGTTGTCAATTAAAAATTTCTCCAAGGACAGCTGAGTACTTGATGGAAGCTACAAGAATTACACACAGTCAGTATGTAATGATTGCACTTTTCATTAGAATAAACATATGGTGTGACGGCAGCTTCATCTGTCTTAAACATATTGTGTCTCTAAAAACTTGGTCAATAATCAGTCAAACTTGAGTTTCTGAGATCGAAGTATTGCTGTATCGTTATTGTACAGTACCTTTTAACAAAGACTGCAGTGAACGGCCCTTGAATCCTGTCTCCCTGTCTTTGAACAATATAAAGCAGGATTTCTCTACTTTTTTAGTAACAAATGCAATGTTTTAAACTCTTGCACTTACAAATGACAATTATTTGTTGTTACAAAAATTATGAACACTACCATATCCTAGGATCATTGTTTTGCTAAAATACTTAAAGGTACACTATGTAACCCTTTTTTGTTCAAAATTAACAAATGAACATTAAATTTATCAATACATCATCAGTCCTTCCAAAACATGATTTTTGTCTTGTTAGATTTTTGTCTAACCCTAACCCAACCCTAACCCTAACCTAACCCTAACCCTAATTCACTATTTATATATTAGACCTGATGGGATTTTTTTTTTTTTTTGTGGAAGATTGCGTATATATGCGTCACTTCGTCACGTCTGTAAATCGAGAAACCTCGGCTATTTGACATGGGAGAGGGAAAAAAAGCAGAGTACTGGCAAAAAGAACATGGCACAGCTCATAATAAAATGAGAATCAACTCTTGGCTTTTCAGAGATGACAAGAACAGAGGGATTTGAAATGTTGTAAAAGCATGGAGTCGGCGTTTTTGCTACTCGACATGATGTGAGTAAGGTATTTTATTTAATAGATACATTGCCATATGTAGCTTTCTAACAGAGTTCATTGTAAAGCAGTATCTATTGCAAAGGCTCATATTCATCTGCACAGTCCCGAAGCGGAGCCAAAACAATGTTTTTCCCTGAAACTGCAATTTTGTTTACACTGATAGAGAGCCAAAAGTTACATAGTGTACCTTTAAGGTATAATATTCTTTGAAAGTTGTCATGAAATCAAAATTGACCCTATTTATTTTCTTAATACCTGTTACTGGGTTGTGAAAAGTTCATCCATGCATATATTTTTATAAAAACAAATTTGACCACACAATATTTAAATGTGAACATTTCTTTACTTATGTCGGAGAGTGAAGCACTTTGGATAGAAAGCATGTGCTATGGCAAAGAGACAAATTTAACAGAGCAGTTTTTAATAGGACAGCTTAACAGCATCAAAACAGATTACACTCCCTATTAACTGGCAACATACTGATACATGATGTCTATAAATAATTACATTTATTTTGGATATGGATCATGAAATTGTTTCAGTTAAGTGTTAAGATCTGCAGGATCAGTCAGTACCAGCAGTTTTAGGGTTTTCAGTTGACCTTCTCAAAGTATTCCTTCGAGCCATCTGGAGTCGGCTTAATCTAAGATAAAAAAAAAATTCAATTACATAAATTAAGTCAAAACAAAAGCAACAAACCTTACATTTCACACTATTATCTATGGTCATGATTAGTTCACATTTGGCCAAATACTAGCCATTTACAATAATTAATGAACAAGTTTGCTGATTTTCAACCAGCTCTGTATTGTTACAGTGTCTGTATTATATGTAAGTGAACTATGCAACTTTTTCTTTCATGTAACCAGTACCCAGATCTATAATGATATAATGGTCACTAGAGCGCCTCCGTTACACTAGCCTCTCCAAAATTGCCTTTAAATCTAGCTGGTTGACCTAGATTGTAGATACTGGAGTTGATGTACTATTTATATATACTACCAACATGCTAACAATACAACAATGGTTTAAAAAAATTGTGTGTACAAATTTACAAAAAGCATCACTCACCCATTCAGAAGTTGTGGTATTTCAATTTTTAGAAGTCTTTTATGCACCAACCACCTATTATGCAGTGTAATCATATCGTTCATTGACACCAGTAAAAGCTTACCGTGGGTGACTTTGGGGTCCAGCTGGCAGGACAGACTTCACCATGGGTTTCCACAAACTGGAAGGCCTTGACCAAACGGATGGTTTCCTCAACGGACCGTCCAACCGGCAGGTCATTTACACTCATGTGTCGGATCACTCCATTAGGATCAATAATGAAAAGCCCCCTACAATGTGAAACACCATTTAGTGATGGATAATTTGCTAAAAAGGCAACCTATCCAGCTTAGCAATGCATGAAAACAAACATACAGATACAGGAAATAAAACAAATGTTTGAGAATGTCTAAAATAAAGTAATCCAGGTACATTGATTAAATGATGGCACCTTAAAGCAATTCCAGGACCCTCAAGTAGGACCCCATAGTCTCTGGACACTTGCTTTGTGAGATCAGCCAACAGAGGAATGTGGATTTTTCCTAATCCTCCACTCTAGGCAAACCAGACGTTAGTTGGAAAGCTTAACATTTGGCATGAATTTGATGCTAGTTTCCCAATGCCTTGATGCTATTTAGAGATCTGAGAATGTGCACATTACGGTTTATACAATGTCAATCGTTGAATTGTCTGAACAGCCAACAGTGTGTGTGTGTTTCATTTCAGTCAACTAATCAATAGAGCCTGGTAAACAATGCAAAGTGACAACTGTATTTAGCTACAGTGTGTACATAAGTATAAACCTTTCTCGGGGTGTTGGTCCAAGCCAGGTGGGTAAAGTGAGAGTCCACAGAAACACCGACTACATGACAGTTTACATCACGAAACTCATTGGCTTTGTCACTGAAGGCGATGATCTCTGTGGGGCAAACAAAAGTGCTGCCGAGTGGGCAGAAAAAAAGAAGCATTAAAAACAACAGTATATCGTTTAATCAATAATCCTAGAGTGATGTACAAATGTACATGAGACAGTGTATGAGAGAACACTGTATTACCACACTCCATAAAGGTTATTTAAAACACCAATGAACTTCCGTTAAATCGTTCCGGTTTATTGTGAAGGAAAATGAAAAACTTACAAATCTAATGGGTAAAAGAAAAGGACCAGGTATTTGCCCTTAAAGTCTTCTAGGCTGATCTCCTTGAACTCTCCATTGACAACAGCAGTGCCTTTGAAATGTGGGGCCTGTTGAGTGACTGCTGGGGCCCATCTTGCAGTGCCTGATATTTACATAACATGCATGATAGATTATCAAATATAATGCTATATTTAATTAAGGGCAAAAACTCAAAATCTTATAAGACTTACTGATTGAGAAGCAAGCTTTTTGTGCAGCAATGCAAGCAAGGGATTGTGGTGCCCTGATCAAAGAAGAGCTGCATTGTGATGGTCCATTGTGAGGGACCAAAACATTCAGTCCATTAACTGCAGCTCTTCTTGCCTGTTGTGAAAAGGGGGGTCATGTTACACGAAAGAGCCGTTACACAAGTTAACTTATCGCTTTTCAACAGATAACACCATCCCCTAAAATCGTGCACATCGCGTACAAATATCTCAAACTATACACACAGTCCCGCTTAATGGCGCTTTCCACGAATAACGTTAGTTAGTTACACGTAGGTGAACACGTTTGTAGTGAGATAAGGTTTGTTTCAATACTTTTATCTAACATTAATTGGAACATTTTCACGTTAGGTTAAACATTTTCACGTCAAGTAATTCAAAACAAAGCGATCTGCACAAGCTAACATGTAATAATTGTTTATGATTAGTAATTCTTCTGACAGGACAGTGCACAGCAGATTGTATAAGCTGTTTAAAGGTTAAACACCGTGAAACGTATCTGCTGACCAAACGACGACTAACAGAGTTTAACCAATTACACTTGCACCTAAATGTAATTCAGCACTTGTTTCTCGTAACAATGTTTCGCAGCAGAAATCTTTTTTATCGGTACTACTGTATGAAACTTACAGAAGTCCTGAAAAGTCTCCCAATGGTGGCTGCCATCTTGCTAATATGCTCAAGCCTCAATGAATGCAGTGTGCAATAAAACACCCTGAGCATCAAAGTCGCGCACTAATTTTGCATTAGTTGCGCAGGACACACACACCGATACAAGAATTGCTTAAAATTATAGTTTAATAATATTACAAATATATATTAGATAAATTGGTGCCGACAAGGTTGTAAATATAAAACCATGTAAAGCCTGACATATTAGCTAAATAAAAGTCTGACAAATCTATTTTGTAGGCTAAGGTTTGCATACAGTCTTGAAGGCTTTGCCCTCATGTTTTATTATATATCAGGGCATTTAAATGCTTAATTTTACGATCAAAGCTCTGTAATTGTTACTGTCGGGGCCAAATCATATAATGCAATACGATGATGATTTAGAGATATAGCTTCTTTCGATACAAACATATCATAAATACATACATTTTCACACGATTTTTGTATTGTCTATAAAAAAGGTGTATGGATAATCAAGTAAATCTAAGTTGCTCCAAATGTTCGTCTTGGAATATTAATAACAAATTAGGCTACCCAAAACTATGACCCAGACAGCAAGGGGCATAGGGGCAACACATCTGGGCCGTGTGGATTCCAGGAGTGCCAGATGTGGTCCGTGTCTGGGTAGAGTTTACTTATTTTAAAATTTTACATGAAATGAATATTAATTCAGTGGACATTTTTAGAATTATAAAACCTATATAGGCTACTAAATCTGAATATAGGCCTATAGGCTACTATTTATCAAAGGCAGAAGGTATGTGGAAGATTGTGTACAACACTTCTTTTTAGCAAAGCCTGCCGTAGACATTCATGTAGTATCAAATATAATATATATTCAAAGCATATAATTATTTAATTGAAATGAAATCAATCGAATTAGTTAACAGGTAATTATGTGCCAAATAACAATACCTTCAGTATTTTTAATTTAATTTGATGGCTCTTTTACGGTGTTTGTCTTAAAAAAAAATGGTCTTGACCGTAGACAGTAAACAGTCTTGACGCGCTCCCTGATCATGCTGTAGTGTAATTGGATGATGTCTGAGCACGTGACATGCGGAAGCGTCGCAGACTTGTCTCATCTGCGTGACCTACACATGGCCCTACACAAGTTAAGCTCCTATGGTTAAGCTTTGTTTAAGAATCATAAAATGAATTGGTAATGCTTCTAGAGCCGTCATTAAAAGTATAAAATGGACCCCAACTTGCAGTACTGGCAAACCAATGGACAGGTACTTTCTTGAATCTGTGCGTCGTTTAAAAATCACGTTTTGATTTATATTTGTCTTGCTGTTGCTCGTGAAAATTATGATATCAGCGACAAATAAATAAATAACGTTAAATGAATCATTTTTCAGTCTTTTCTAAGCAGACTGCGTCTCTGGTTCAACATCCTCGACCCTCGTTATGTGTTGTCATCACAGGTGAGTAGCAGCAGCATAATCAGCACATGTACATACTCTGGTAACATCAGTTCACATCAGTACTGTCAATTGCTTCTTATAGAATGCATATATATCTCGTTTTGATACTTGTCCCGTACATGTAACATTGTTTACATTTAATAGATGACAACAAAATACATAATATGGTTTTTCTTAGGCGGAAATTAAGGAGGCCCGGATACTTCTTGAGAAAGAAGGAAACAAACAGAGAAATGAAAAGGTAGGCTGCACAATACATTCATTCATTCATTCATTCATTCATAAATAACAATATTCCTATCTCTTTATAGGTTGCTAATGCCTGGTTACTGTCTCTTGTAAGTGAATGAGTTTATATTTTTCAAGTGAACATGACAAACAAATATAAATATTCATTCTTAAGACACAGGACAAAAGGGGCCACAGAACTGAAATAATACCTTATTTTGTATCATAATGTTCACTTTGCATATTTTCAGGGAGATTTCTTGCTTCTTCTATTCTTTCACAAATGATAACGTGTATGTGTAAAGAGTGCTCTGTAGAGTTAAATGTTTAAGATTAATAGAGTACTTTTATGGTTTGATAGAGTTTTAGAGGTGGGACTTGATTTTGTCAAGCAATAATTGATTGGATGGTTGAGGTTTGCTATTACTGTAATCTGATTTGATTGACAGGTCGTCCCACCCTCCTGCTGAAAAATACGCCATCAGAGGGATATTATTTTGATTAAAGACTATGAGGACAAATTCATTTTTAAAAGATTATAATGTGCACGGATAAATCATTTTTTGATTTCATGGTGAATTTAAACATTTTTGTCAATAACTTTTTAGTCTTCTGTCCATGCTGATACTGGAGCTGTAATCTCACCAGTGTTTCGTCCTCAAGGTATAATAACAAACTTGAGGGTTTGTGTTTTCTGCAATTTATACTTTTGGGATATTTATTCATTTATGTGAAGTAATTTGCATTTATCTGAATTGAAAATGTTCTTTTGCTTCTCTGATGACTTCTACAGTACTTCTTGTTTGTTTTCAGGTTTTCTACCTATATCTGGTCCCTTGGTAAGTTTTTAATTTCAGAATGTGCTTACAATGTACTGGAGATGAGCAGCTTCAAATGTAAATTAGTGAGTTGTTAGTTTTTATAATCCACAAATGAATATATCCACATATTCGTTTCCACAGGTTGTTGCAAGTTTAATACCCCACAAAGGCATTAAACCTGCTTTGTTTTGGCAAGTAAGGACATTCTACATTTATGTCTTCATTTTAGTTTTTTCTTATCAACTATACATTTTTGAGACAATTTTTGCTATAGTTTTTGCTTCAGGCATACTGTGCAGGATTCAACCATTCTAACAGAAATGCAACAGCAACTAAGGTAAAAAATTATATGTTAAATCAAATTAAAAACTGCTTTACTTTCACTTTACTATTTTAACCACTGTATTAAGTCCCAGGACATATTTTCTTTTCTTTTGTGTGAGTAATAATAAGAGTGTTCTGATACAGGATTCGAATTGTTATATTTATTTAACTTTTTTTTTTGCCTAGGATAACACAACATCATTGAAGCAGTCAATTCTTATGGTTGGAACAGTTTCCTACTCTACATTTGCAGGGGTACGTACGAGGCATTTTTGTCACTGTCCTGTTTTCTCAAACCATATTCATCTGATGATTTTATGTTTGGAAAATTGTTGACACAGGTGTGTTAAACTCATGAAACCTGTCAAGGTCCAAGGGTCATGTCCTGGTCATATTTCACCCCCTGAAATTAAAAGAAAGGAAAAAGATTATATTTAGTTTACAGGAAATTAAGCCTAATTTAGGACCATTCCGATTTTGACTATTATTATTATTATTTTAAAAATACACATTATTGTGAATGACAATTAGGCACACGTTTTTCTCTAATTTTAGTTTTTTTCAACACGTCATTTGTTGTATTTTAATGAAATGTGACCTGGATATGTTCTCTTTTCAGGCTCTTCCACAGATTATACTCCAGCGTTTTAGACCCTTCAGTGCTGTGATTGAGACCATCTGTAGATCCTTGTTACCTATTCCTCTCTCAGGTAAGAACACCAATATATATGCACACAATACACCTAGCATAGTTACTTTATTTCATAAATATTCCTGATCTAAAGTCTGCATTCTAGTGTCATAATACCATTGAAAGGTTTTGAGTCAAACGTGGTTTTCTAGCCTGTCTAGCTGCATTCAGTGTAATGGTGGTGAGAAGTGAAGAGTCCGACAATGGGATACAAGTGTTTGATTCTAATGGGAATGCTGTCGGAGTGTCAAAGGAAGCTGGTTCCAAGGTGATTAAATTATCATTATCATTAAATTACTTAAATATATACTGATGAGCCAAAACATGACCAATCACAGGTGAAGTGAATATCATTGATCATCTACTAACAGGTCTGGGCAGATTAGATGGGAAGCAAACAATCAGTTCTCATTATCAATGTGTTGAATGCAGGAGAAAGGGGTAGGAACTAAGAATAAAGAATTTGATGAGGGCTAAATTGTTATGATAAGGTGACTAGGTCAGATTATCTTTAAAAATTCAAGGTTGGTGTGTTGATCCTGGTCAGCAGTGGTGAGAATTTACTAACAGTGATCAGACAGGGTGTGGGGCGCCCTAGGCTCATCGCTGTGTGAGGGCAACGAAGGCTATCCCATCTACTCTGGGCCAACAGAAGGTCAGAAACATTCGAATGATGTTTATGGGGGCAGTGTGTCACAACACTGCTGCGGATGGGACCGTGTTGCCGCAGACCATTCAGGGTGCCTATGATGACCCCTGTCCACAGTCGAAAGCACACTGTGCACTTGAGCGTCAAAACTGGATCTCCTTGTGAAGGTCGCCGATGAGTCCTATTTTGTTTTACATCACATGGACGGCTGTGTACATGTGCACCGTTTACTTGGGGAAGTGAGTGCACCAGGATACACTGTGGAATGATGACAAGCCGGTGGAGGGAGTGTGGTGCTCTGGGCAATATTCTGCTGGGAAACCATAGGTCTGGCCATTCACGTGGACATAAATTTGACACATGCCAGTGCCACCTACTTAAGCCTTGTTTCAGAGCAGGTACATGACAATGGTGTTCCCCAGTGGAAGTGGCCTCTTTTAACAGGATAATGCACCCTGCCCTACTGCCCACATTGTTCTGGATTGGTTTGAGGAACATGAAGAATTCATGGTGTAGCCATGACCTCCAAATTCCCCAGATCTTAATCCAAATGAGCATCTGTGGGATGCAAGGATCTGCTGCTAACATCTTGGTGCCAGATACAAGAAGACATCTTCAAGAGTCTTGTAGAGTCCATGCCTCAGCAAGTCGGCACTGCTTTGGCAGCACTCGGATGACCAACACCATATTATGCAGGTGGTCAATGTTTTGTCTCATCTGTGTATATTCTTCACATGTAATTGGTATTCGATGATGTCTCGCGTCTAATCATTCATGGATCGTTTGGTTTCTACCATCATGTTTTGGTCTTAGGCCATAAAGGAAACTGCCATCTCAAGAGCGGCTCTCTTTGGCACCACTGCAGCTGCTCCCAGTTTTCTGCTGGCTCTCCTTAAAAGGTACTAAAACCATTTCCTTTCTGTTTTGCAATTTGATTCTTAAAAGTTTTGATTGTCTAAATTTGAAATCTGCTGTCAATATTTCAGGGCAAAGTTTGTCCAAAGAAACCCCATGATAATCGCTCCTGTTCGGCATGTTAGTACTGCCATTATTTTTGGCCTGATGATTCCTGTGTCCTTTAGTCTTTTTCCACAGTTTGGCAAGGTAACACACATTAGATAACTGATGTTTGTTAAATGTTAATGCTGATTCATTATATCCATTTATTTACCATTTTAATTTTGTAAATAAATTCAGACAAGCAACCTATTTTTTGTTTGCAGATTAAGAGGGAGAATTTAGAAGAGGAGTTTCGGTCACTTGAAAGTAACAGGGAACTGTTTTACCACAGAGGACTGTAATGTTGCTATTGCAAACATGCTTATTTGAGGGCGACTTTTGACATGAAAAGAATGGAAACAATAGAATATACTAAAAGTTCAATGCATTTCAACAAAAATTCTAAATGGTGTACATTAGAAGTATTAAAAACACACACTCTTTTTTCCAAATGATTTATTTAATTCTGTACTACTGCTTAATGACCACATTAAGAAGTAGAGCTGTACAGGTTTGAATTCATATGAATTTTATAGCTAAATTCACTGTATTGAAATAGATGAAATAGATTTTACTAAATAATAACATTTAAACAATTATACCTATCCCTCACTCTGTTTGTTAGGGTCAATACAATTTCTTTCGCCACTCATGTATAGTTTGTTTTGTATATTTAATGATCACACATGCATTAAAAAAATTATCCAAGGAAACAGCATTTTACAACTCTCTGAAAATTATCACAATGTTTAAGAAATTAGAGAAACAGTTTAAACGTCCTCTTTTTTTAGTATATATTGCACACAACACATTATCAGAAAATCTTCTATGATCTATTAGTTAGGCACAGAGGATAGCCCTTGATAACAAGGGGTTTTCAGATTAAAGGGTTAATTCACCCAAAAAAGGAAAATTCTGTCTCATTACTCACCCTCATGTTGGACTAACCCAGTAAGACTTTCTTTCATCTTCAGAACACAAATTCATATTTTCTTGATTAAATCTAAGAGCTGTCTCACTCCTCCATAGGCTTCTATTGTGATTGAAACCTGCCGGCCCAGAAGGTTAGTAAAAAACATTGTTAAAAATAGTCCAAGTGACTAAAGTGGCTCAACCTTAAGTTTATCAAGTGACGAGAATGCTTTTTGTGCACCTATAAACTTAAATAATGACTTTATTCAACTATTCATTTTCTTCTGAGTGAATTCACGTAGTGTAACAGCGCAGCAAGTCAAAACTTAGCAGTAGCACCTCACTGCAGTACAGGAGATCCAGGGGCCGGAGTTGAATGCAGATCTAAAAGGCGGAGATGGGTAGGTTTAGGATCCAACTCCTCCCCTTGGATTTCATGTTCTGTAGTGAGGACCATCTCGAACGTAGGCTCACTTTTGGCCAGCATCACATGCATCATACACATGACCAGCGTCGGCCAATAGTGAGCCTGTGTGCTGTGCTGTTACAATAAATGAATCAAAATTATCTTAATTTGCGTTCCAAAGATGAACGAAAGTCAACACGAGGGTGAGTAATTACTGACAGAATAAAAATTTTTGGGTGAACTAAACCTTTAATAAGGAGATTAAACATAAAACATTTAAAGGAATGCTTAAATCAGTATTATGTGGAAATGCAAAATGTGGGAACAAAGTTCCATCCCACAGGAATGACTTTGTATATTTAAATTAGAGTATATAATCATAAAAAGTACTCTAACAGGAATACACCTATGGATTGTTAATTGTCATCCTAACTTTATGATTAGGTTTTGGCACTCAATCGTTCGGTAAAAAAGTTTTCATTGAGACCCTCTACCTCTAGAGCAATTCAATTTGTTTAACTGAACAATTACTATAACAGTATTATTATTTTACAGCTGAACAAATGTTAGGTATGAACTAGGCAACCGTCAGCCCTTTAATACTGGTGTGCAATTATGAAATATTATAAAAATGCAAACAACATGCCAATACCTTGAAAATACTTGTAGAGATATAAATATAAATTGGCTCAAGATCTAAATGCTACCAAAAGGTTCGATTAATAATAATTATTCACCTCAAACCAGTGTTATTACTTGGAAATATAACATTCAACATTCATAATTGCATCCATCATGTTATAGCTACGTGTTGTACTTCTATATCTTTATATTGTCCAAATAAAACTTATTTTCCCATCTACAACCCTGATATTAGAGATTATCCAAATGTTACAATTCATTTTGTGATTCCACTTTGAAAGGCAAGTTCCTATCTCAGTGATATTATTGTGAGGCATGCAAGTTGGACGGGATGGTCACTGATTGGTCAAATCTTCAAGAGTTGCTCAGCTGCAGCTAAGTGAAAGAGGAAGTTTTCAGTCGCTGGAGGGTAATGCCGTTGCTTCAGAGTCTCCAGAGTCAATTTGGAGTTGTCTGCTTCATCAGCAAGAGACATCAGATTACTGAGGATTTCTTTAGTTTTTACTGAAATATCCTGGAAACAGATTGAAAAATAAAAAGGTTGGCTTAAAACTACAGTGTTACAGGCCTTGAATGCTTCAAAAGTAGATTGTGCAACAGCTATATGATGTTTCTTTGCTAATACTTAGGACCTTCTTCTTATTACTTGCCTTAATAACCTGTGCATCTGTGCGATCAGTGTCCTCTGCAGCCTGGACAATGAAGTTGCCGATCTCTTTATGGAGTTTTCCCATAGCCATTGCCTCTGAAAAAAAAACAAGTCATGGTACATGACAATTCTACTTAGTCTCTATCAATCTGTAAAGCAAAATCTCTCACCTTTGGCATTTTGTGAGACCGTGATCTCACTGTCTGGTAGATTTACATACACATCAAACAGGTCTGATCGGTCTCTGACTTCAGCATCGACAAACCCTGCAACGTACCCTACAGAGATAGTGAATAAGAAACATAAACATTGCAGGAGTGATAACAATAAATCTAGTTTTGGGAGAAGGACCCGTTTTCCCTCGTACCTGTACACAGCTTGAGGTTTTCCAGCTCATTATTATCCAGATGAACAAAAGGCTGGAGTATGGACCAGTCTTGTCTATGCCATACTAGGCCAGGAAGGGCCCTGGTTTTAAAAAGAAAAACACATTTACCACTTCCAGCCTTTTTAATGCATGCCGATTATCGTTAACTTGTTTAAAAGTTTGGGGTCAGTACGATTTATTTTGGTTTTCTTCTTGAAATAAATGAATGAATCAATCTATGAGATCCCAATGGTTGACCATTTATCCTTACATGATGTGTAGAAAGAAAGAAATAGAACCATAAGCACCTGCTGCTCTTTGTTACAGCACCACAGGATATAAACACTAAGATACTTAAATTCAATGTGACATGCAGTTTTCAACCTATTTTACTTCCATACTCTGACATTTCTAGTTTGAATTAATGTACGTCAGTGAATCATGCACAATGTTATTAGGAATGTAAATGGTCAACTTTGATTTCATGTTAACTTAATGATCATGTTGTGCAATGAAAATGTCCATGGTTACCTTGTGAACTCCAGCAGCACCTCAATCCGTGGGTGATAGACCACCACTCTTTTTTTCAGCATTAGTGCTGTGTAAAGGATGATGGTCTCCATACCAAATTGTGATACTACATCTAAAATTAAGATGAAATACCTCATGAAGTCTTAAATATAGCTAACTGGATACCATACATAAATGTCTTACAGAATTGAGATGCTTTCTTGAAAGATTTCTCAAATAACCACCATGAGGCCAATTGGAGCAAATGGCTATGGTATCAAAAGTAAGTAATGTTCATTTTAAAGATGCACCCCTAACCTTTTATGGAGCCAGCCAGGTAGGCCTTCCTGACATCATAGTCTTTGATAAGGAAAGAACCGTTCTCATCACTCTGGCATATCCCTTTGGTCAGAACAGCAATGTAGCCTTCCATCATCTTCACAGGACTTCCATGTTTAATATACATCCTGAGCAAAAACAATATTAAAGATGCAACATGTCCTTAGAAATGATTTAATGACAAACAAAAGATGCTTAATAAACGTAATAATGCTAAATGACCATTTATTGAAACTCAAAACAAAAATCTACACTCAAGTGGGAACCTCTTTGTTGGGCACTAAATGGTTTTTACTTAAATTAAACCTACCTGCACAGAACTTTACTGAATGCAGCATATTTTTCAGGGTTGAAGTCCTTAGCTGTGACAACTATTGAGAAATGTGTCACCTTTGAATGAAATTGAGCAGTCAGTTAGCAGGCCGGCATGATTCTGATCATTTATTTAGATTAAAAATAAGTACCATCAGTCTACAAAGCATTCAGCACTTACGGTAAAAAGCACATAATGAGATATACTAAGCATTTGTCACAAAAGAAGTTGTAATTGCAATATATTACAGCAGTGCTTCTCCGTGGCCCCCTATTGTCCACAACAATACGCAAACAATATATACCCCTAGCCCTAGTTTTTTTTTTTTTTTTTTTTAAATATATAAAGGTTTTACAGGAAACAAACAGTTGTTGAGAGGGTAATTATTAGTGCTGTCAAATCGATTAATCGCATCTAACATTTGTCTTTACATAATGTGTGTGTGTGTTATTAAAGTTATATATAGGTGTTTGTGTGTGAATGTCTGTGTATGTCAAGAAAGATAGTCATTCATTCAGGTTTGGAATGACAAATTGTTCATTTTACGTTATTTGAGCACAGGTTTGATAGCTTTTTAGGATGGCAGTGGTGTCCTAATTATGAAGTCTGGTACCTTTTTAAGCGCAGTTGGCTCCTGAACCTCGACAGTGGTGATGTAGTACCAGGTTCTGCAGTACTGTCCGAACACGAACTTGTGCAGCACCCGATTGTCCAACGTCAGGCAACATTTTCTCAACAGAACCTCTCGCAGATCAGCACCAATGGAAGGATAGCACCAAACCCAAAGCGTGACTGCATTTACATCTTTCTCTGTGTATGGGGGACAAATTCAATTACTGACAAAGTAATCAACTAAAGGGACAGTTTCCCCAAAAATAATCTGTCATATGGCCCTTTTCTTTAGCAGAACACAAAATGAGATGTTAGACTCAGTCACCATTTACTTTCACTGCATCCTTTTTCCAATTTCCACAAAATGAAAGTTAACAGTGACTGACAAAAAAGTGCTGTCACTCTGCCTAACAACTCATTGGGGATGATGGGTCATCTGGTGGTGAACTAATGCATACAATGTACATACAAATGTTATCTTTTCCCGTTATTTCAATCTTACCAATAAGTCCAAGACTCAGCATCAGGTCAGATGTAGCCATATTCCATTCCTTGTCCACGTTAATCTGTTTTTAATACTTTAATGATTTGTGAACAGTTTAGCAGTTTTGAAAAAACCAAATGGAAAGGTTTTTCAAAGCGAACTGACACAACTCATTATTAAATATGCCAGGACAGTCTATCCAGAAAACAATTAAAATGTCAAAACGGTTCTCCTTTCAAAATAGATGTTAGTGTTGAATCCAGATGCAGTTTTCTTTTAAAAGCCTAGCGTTACGAATTATCAATTAGTTTCTAGTATATCAGTGTAACTTAGGTGAATCAGTTGTGGTATTGCAATAATTCCGGCGAGTATGTGTATCAAAGAAATATAAAAATAAAATGAAAACTTATCATGAACAGTGGACCTCCACTACTGGTCAAGTGACCAACATGCCTTCTTCCGGGTTTTATTTCTCTCAGTTCAACCAAAATATTCAGAAACATACTGCCATCTAGTGTGTTGGTGCACAATAAATCCCAGCAACATTGAAATTATAAGCCTACATTTTTTAAATAATCGGAAAATGTCACAAAACTTGGAGCAACTATACGGATGTTCTTCAGATTCAATATCCAATTTAAACCTTACTCTTAAAATATCACGACATGCACTTAATTGACTAGCATTTAATAGTTTTGGTAACAAAGATATTTTTTTTTCCTTTAATTGAGTCTGCTTTTTAAAACATTTATTTTAACAAGAAGAAAGAAGTGTTGTGAAATTTTACTAGTTTCCATTGTTAACTTTTAAACAAAAGACAGAATTAGAGGTATGGCATGAAAAAAATTAATCTCTATCATTTATCATGTTGTTCCAAACCTGTGAGACTTCTTTTCTTTTGTGAAACATAAAAGAAGTTATGTAATGCCTGGCAGGCACATAATAATAATTGTTCATAGACTAGTTTTAATGAATTAATACTTATACATTATACCATGCAGTATAATTGTTACTAGCCTATGTGCTATTTAATTGTCATGCTTTTTTACTCTTAAGTGTTTGAATCCCATGGATACAAAAAAAATGTATTGAAAGGTAAATTATTAAGTTCAGCCCTCTTATGAATAATGTGAATAATTAATAATTTATGATCCTATAAATGTCTACAACAAAAGGCATATGACTGAATTAGGCTAGTCATAAATTGTCAAACTGTTTATTTCCTTTTTTTATTGTTGAAAATTTTACAGTTCCACAGTTGCACGGGCTTTCGTCGGATTCATCTTTGGTAACATTTCAGTACTGATGAATTTATTTAGACTATATTTAATTAGAATCATATATGCCTGTCATCATCTGAACTGTAGATCATGAGCCCGTAGGAAGTGTGCGCGCGCACACACACACATACGGGAACTCTCGTCATCGTCGCCGGGGTGCAGTTCACGTGCGCTAGTCCTTTCTTGCTTGAGCGGCGAGAAGTCACCGCGCGGATGGGCAGGCAGAGTCAATAAAACAGCCTCGACAACCTGAAAACCGCCTGCTAGCAAGCTATAACAATGCCAGCCTATTTCCAGAGACCGGAGAACGCTCTTAAACGAGCAAACGGTGAGTAAATATTGTAACCTGCCGTCTCTTGGACTCTAGTCGTGAGTTAGCTGTTAGCTCGATATGGCGCGTGCTGGAGTAGCCATGTTTCTCACAGGCTCTGGTGCAGGCCGGATGTCACCGTTACTGGGCCCGTGTGTCACCTATGATGTTGCGTTTCAAAATTCCTGTATTCAATCATCTCTACCTCTTCTTAGTGTACTCGAAGATAGGACTCGATTAGAAATTAAGTGTAAACATGTGGAATATTTTTTAAAAACAGATGAAGAGCGTTATTGCGTGCTAGCAAGTTATTCCATTCCGCTAGCTTATCTCTGACAACTTTTGGTATCGAAAAATAAAGATAAATGACAATGTGCGTGGAACAAAATCCTTACGACTGTAATAGTCTAACGCAAATTCATAAATATAGAGCAAATACGTTGTGTTTTGGTCATAGTAACAAACAGTTTATGAGTATAGTGGCACAGCACTGCGCACCTGCCACCAGCTGCTTGAACGTATATAATGGTTTCTTTTCTCTGTCATATTTGGGTTGAAGGTTACGTTATACGTAAATGAAATACTGCTGCAGTCCCAGTGATTCATTCCATTCTGGATGCAGTATATTTCACAATTGAACAAATTCTCAGAGGTTTGCAAGTCATGATAGTCTTTCTGTTTCTCTTTTCCAGAGTTTCTTGAAGTTGGTAAAAAGCAGCCAGCTTTGGATGTACTCTACGATGTCATCAAGAGCAAAAAACATCGAACATGGCAGAAGATACACGAGCCAATTATGCTCAAGTACTTGGAGCTCTGTGTGGACCTTCGCAAGAGCCACTTGGCAAAGGAGGGACTGTATCAGTACAAAAACATCTGTCAACAGGTTTGCCACCCCATTATACAAAAAAAAAAAAAAAATTTTTTTACTTATCTCATTGTGAACAATTCATCTTTGCACATCTTTCATTTTAAAAAAATGCTTTGACCTTGATCTTCCAGTGAAAAAGACAGACTATTATCTGGTGACATATATATGAATTGTCCAATCATTTAGTCTGCTTAAACATTTGACTGCCTCCTTAAAAAATGCAAAAAAAAATGTGTTCCTTTTTCGATTATCTGTTACACTTGTACACACATCTGTTACATATGTAATTCACAACATGGAATAAAAGATCTCTGTTGCTACTTCTGTTTCACTGTGACTTTAAACTTTAGTTATTTGTGTCATAATGCTGTTAGGTTATGTTTATAAAATATATCCAATCATGATGACTTTCAGTGAACTTTTTATTGTAGAATTGGTCTCAAATTTCTGTATAGATGAAAACAGCCATGTAAAGGATCAATTCAATCCTTCTTGAGGATGAAGTTACTGACCTCTACTAATTATATGCTTCAGGTGAATATCAAATCTTTGGAGGATGTGGTCCGCGCTTACCTGAAACTTGCGGAAGAGAAGACCGAGACAGCAAAAGAGGAGTCTCAGCAGATGGTGCTGGACATTGAGGATCTGGACAACATTCAGACCCCAGAAAGGTACAGGAACTTAAAGGCCTAAACAGTTCTTTCCCACTAGGGATGGGCATTCGATTAAATTTTCTTAGTCGATTGTCAGGAGAATTAATGATCGACTATCGATTAATCATTTATATTTATATACTCAAATTCATTATTTATTTTACTTTTTATTAATTCAAATGCTTTGAAAATACAAAAATACAGCATAATTTTCCTGAATCAGATCCTTATTACAAGATGATTAACTTGTGGCTGTTAAACTGGATGTTCGGTTAGTTACACCGGAGAACATAAGACCATAATCGAAAGAACACTGATTATGATCAAACAAATAAAAACTCGAGGCTGCCTGAAAAGGAGTGGGATGAAGTTAATCACTTATTGATTCACATCCCCTCTATCTAACTTTAATGGATTACCGTAGTTTACTTCCTTTGGTATTATCCAATTTTTCCAAAACACAATCACATATATCTTCATTCAACAAAAATTCCAGCTTAGCCAACTAATTTTTCTTAATTTTTATAATGTTCAAAAATCATTTATTTGAATATTTTTCTAAATTGTTTTATATTTGGACGTTCCTTAAGCTTCTGATTTAAGTTGTTCCACAGTTTCACCCCTTTTATGGAAACACAACTTTTCTTCCTACTATGTACCAATGGTAATATGAAATTAAATTTTCCTCTCAACACATACCCTCCTTCTCTCAGAGTAAATGACTTTAGTACATTTTGAGGTAAATCATTATGCTTTGCCCTGTATTGAATTTGCACAGTCTGTAAATCCACCAAATCTTTAAATTTTAATCATTTGGACTCCATAAAAAAATATTGGTATGTTCCCTATAACCTGCCCCATGAATGATCTTTAGAGCTCTCTTCTGTAAAATGGCAAGTAGCTGGACTTTTGTTGTGTAAATGTTTCTACACAACAAGTGAAATATGGCAACACTAATGAACAAAAGAGCATACGTAAAGACTTCTGATTTAAAACTTGCCTTGCTCTACCAATTATTGCCATACTCCTTGAAACCTTACTCCTAACATGGCTAATGTGAGGTTTCCACTGCACTGTCAATTATAACTCCTAAAAATTGTATTTCACTGACCTTTTCAATTCACTCCATCCAGCTTAATTTCAATTTGCAAATTATGTTGACCATTACCAAACATCATTAATTTTGTTTTCTTTAAATTTAATGTTAATTATTTGTATTCAAACCATAATTTAATCTTCTCTAATTCCTTATTTGTCTCTGCACTAGCAACTAAAGATCACTGCCTGAACGAAAAATATTAGTGTCATCAGCAAACAACACTAATTTCAGTAATTCTGACACTTGATATAAATCATTAATGTAAATGAAAAACAATTTCTGGCCTAACACGGCCCTCCTGTGTGGCTTCACAAGAAATTGGCTGGCATTCAGAAAAGGAATCTCCCAATTTCACAAACTGCTTTCAAGTCAAGTAACTTTTTATCCATTCTAATATGTCTACTTTTATCCCATTGCTCTAATTTTCATGACAAAATTTCATGATTGATGGTTTCAAACGCCTTCTGTAGATCAATAAATATTCCAATAGTGTGCATTTTATCTACAGAACTTGATATTTCCTCTATATAATCTAATAATTCAAGTGATGTTGCTCTTTTTGCTCTAAATTTATACTGGTATTTATTAAATATATAATTTTTTTCCAAAAAATTGTCAAGCTTATTCCGTTCACTTTCTACTAACACTTCGCAACACAACCAGTATTAGTTTAATCGATAACAAATTAACGTGATCGACTAAATTCTTAATGATTAATAATCGATCATCGATTAATCATGCCCATAACTACTTTCCACTGATGTCTCTGTAAAGAATTTGTTGCTGCTGTGTATGTTTACTTTTGTGTAGTTTCAGAATTTCTTAACCTCTAGAAATCATGTTAAATTTCAACATGGTGAAAGGACATTACATTCTAATTCATGTTCATGAGTACAATCAAGTAAAAAAAAAAAAAATCCTTTTTTTTAGTGTTCTTTTGAGTGCTGTCAGTGGTGAAGACACTCAAGACCGCACTGACAGACTTTTGCTCACGCCTTGGGTCAAGTTCCTGTGGGAGTCCTACCGCCAGTGCCTGGACCTGCTAAGGAATAACTCCAAAGTTGAGCGCCTTTATCATGACATTGCTCAGCAAGGTCAGTGTACTCTTCATATAATACAAAAACATATGTTTATTGGAGTTTGAGCATATGGTGCAGATAAGGGTTTATGTGTTGAGTTAGGGAATGTCGTTGCTTTCTATTGATGTAGTTCAGGTTACCGTGGATAAATACATACACTATCATCCAA